CCTGAGGAAAATCTAATAAATGCTGGAGAACATCTGGAGGTGTTCTGGAGAACACCTGAAGAAGTTCTGGGGAACATCTGGAGAAGCTCTGGGGAACATCTGGAGAAGTTTTGGGGAACATCTGGAGAAGCTCTGGGGAACATCTGGAGAAGTTCTGGGGAACATCTGGAGAAGTTCTGGAAGCCTCAACCCGGGGAGTCCAGGGAAAAACTTGGGAGCAGCCAATGGGCCTGAGCTGCAGGGATTTGTCCTTCCCGTGGCCAAACCCGGCTCCGAACTGGGGATTTGGGCAGCGGGGGCTGTCCCTGGAGAGGGTCCCTCCATCCCAACCCACCCACGATCTCCTGATGTCCAACCCAGCGATCCCAGTGCTCCCAGTTCACCTGCTCTCCTCTCCTTCCATGAGCTTCCTGTAGGTGAGGATCTCCACGTCCAGGGCCAGTTTGATGTTCATGAGCTCCTGGTGCTCCTTGACCAGCTGGGCCACGCGCTCCTTGTTCCTCTGCAGGGCCTCCTCCAGCCCCGCCAGCTTGGCCTTGGCGTCCCGGAGCGCCGCCTCCCCCTGCTCGCCCGCCTCCCGGATGTGCTCCTCCAGGAACAGGCACTGGGAATGGGAATGGGAATGTCACAGGGTCACCTCCCCCTGCTCGCCCCCCTCCCGGATGAGCTCCTCCAGGAACAGGCACTGGAACCAGGATTGGGAATGGGAATGTCACAGGGGGGAACCCAGGACACCCCCTGGGCCGCGTCCCCCTGCTCGCCCCCCTCCCGGATGTGCTCCTCCAGGAACAGGCACTGGAACCAGGAATGGGAATGGGAATGTCAGATGGGAGGGAATCCCGCAGCTGGAGGGGTGTCCCCCACCCCTGGACACCCCAGGACCTGTGTCACCCATCCCAGGACACACCTGGATGGTCGTTCCCCAATCCCAAGACACACCTGTAGGATTGTCCCCGATCCCAGGACACACCTGGACAGTTGTTCCCCAATCCCAGGACACACCTGGAGGATTGTCCCTTCCCTCCCCCCAAAGGACACACCTGGACAGTTGTTCCCCATCCCAGGACACACCTGGAGGGATGTCCTCCACTCTGGGACACACCCCAGGACACACCTGGACAGCTTTTCCTCATTCCAGGACACACCTGGGACACGATTCCCAAGCCCAGTGTGCATGTTTTC